TGGAGGGCGACTGCCTCCAACTGCCCAGTAGCGTCCTTCACGAGCCTCTTCTACAGAGGCCAATCTTGACACTGCTGGTACCAGTCATCGACAAGTCCACTCAGCTCCACATCTTCCTGTACCACATCACTCCATCTCTTCTCTAGCCTGTGCTGCGCCTGTTTAGCCCCCTCTATCCGGCCGAACAAAAGCTGTTTAGGCATGCAGTGGCTGGGCATGCGGGCTATATGACCCAGCCAATGCAGCCTTGCCTGCCGTAGGAGCTCACCGATGAGACTTTGTCCAGATATTTCAAGGATACGTGAGCTCCTCACACAATCCAGCCTGGTTAAACCCAGGATGGATCGTAGGCAGGCAAGCCTAAATGTTTCTAACCGGCGAAGATGTTCCATTAGGGGGGTCCACGTTTCGCAACCGTAGAGAAGGGAGGGAATGACCGATGAAAAGATAATGCCGCTCTACTGATTCGGAGTGAGACCTCTGCTGTCAAACCGGAGCCGGTCATGAGCACACTGGCCAGATATGGGAAACTCTCCACTCTCTTCACAACTGCCCTATCACCAATTGGGAGTTGTGGGGGTGGAGTGTCCAATGCTACAAAATACCCAGGCAGGTGCTTAGTTTTGGTGGGGCTGATGGTAAGTCCCCACCTCTTAGTAGCAAGCTCCAGGTTCAGCAGCAGCGTCTCCATCTCCTCCTCTGAGTGAGCAGCAATTACCAGATCATCGGCATACGTAACATGGTTGAGCAATAGGGAGCTATCCCTTGACCGCACCCAGGCATCGATCAGTCTCCCATTGTATCTGTACCAGATGGAAATTCCTCCGGTACAGCTATTGAAGGCTTCACGAACTACGTGGTCGAAATAGATGTTAAATAATTAATGTGGGAGCCAGAGGACATCCCCGTCGCACCCCAAGGTGAACAGGGAATGGCTCCGACTCCTAGCCACGTAGTTTTACCCGGGCCCGCTCACCATCATGAAGGTCCTTAATGATCATGAGCAGCGGGTCAAGGACTCCGAAAGTACGAAGAACAACCCAGACCCCAAGCCTACTGATGGTATCATAGGCCTTGACCAGGTTAATAAAACAGAGATGTAGGTCTTGTTGGAATTTCCTACACCTCTGCTGGTGGCCCCCCTTCTTAAATAGGGGGGCCACCAGGGCATCCTTCCAATCCTGCGGAACCCGTCCAGTGGTCCAGACTGTTGTTATGATGTCATGTAGGGCAGTCTGTGCACAAATGCCACCCTCCCTCAGCATTTCGCTTGGGAGATCATCTCTGCCTGGTGCCTTTCTCTGGTCTCAGGCTCTGGATCGCCTTCAGTACTTCCTCAACAGATGGCACCTCAGCCAGCCACTCATAGCGGGTGACGTCTTCCAATATTTGAGGCACCGCAGCCTCAGCAGGGTCATCCCCACTTGTCCCATGCTGTTTTCCACGCTGAGGGATTTCCCCTCCCCCAGGACCTCACAGAAATGCCCAGAAAATCTGCAAACCTGTTCCTGGGGGTCGGAGATTGGATCACCGTTCTTTCCCCTAATGATGAAAATAGGTGTGGCACTGCAGGTTACTTTTTTGATGGAGTTAAAGAGCAATTTGTGATCGCAGGCCATTGAGGCAGACTCCATCTCCTCAGCAACCCGCGACCACCAACTATCACCTCACGGCTCTCCGAACCTCTGAGCGAAGGCTGCGGTAAGCCTCCTCATTTTCTGATGTGGGATGCTGTAGACGATGATAGTGGGCCTGTCGCTTTTTCTCAGCCAGCCTGAACACCTACTCTGTCAGCCAGGTTCTCTGGGGAGGTCTGGACCGTGTACCCAAAGCAGCCATTGCAGCTGCATGAGCCACAGTCCTAAACCTGGCCCATTTCCCCTCGACATCAGGAGGAGTGGGGGACGATGCCAACCCCAGCAGAAAGTGATGATGAAATTCTAGCTTGCAACTTTCATCACCTAGCTGAGACCATGCCACTATGGGTTTGAATGGTGTCCTGGGTGTACACCCACCGGAGTGGAAGAATGGCAGACACATCTTACAGATGACAAGTTGATGGTCAGTGGACATATCAGCTCCATGGTAGGTCCTGGTGTCAAGGACATGGGCCGCATCTGCTGTTTCGTCACTATGTAGTCCAGCAGATGTTCTTGCTTGGACCCGGCATGCATCCAAGATGTTGTGTGGATGCGCCGATGCCGGAACAGCGTGTTGGTAATTACAAGCCTATGTGCTGCACAAAAATCAAGCAGCCTCCTACCATTGTCATTGAGCTGATCTGGCCCATGCCTTCCAATCACTCCAGACCAGGTGCTAGCATCATGACCAACTCGGGAATTGAAGTCACCCAACAAGATGGCTCTATCCCGAGGGGCCGCTTTAGCCAGCACCTGTGACAGGAGTTCATAGAAGGAATCTGACTCATCGGCCTTGCTGCATCCCTCCACGGATGCTCGTCTTCGGTGGGGGCATAAGTAACCATGACCACCACTCCTCGCCTCTGGTTGATGGGAAGGCGAGCCCAAAGTAGTCTGGGGCTTATATCTTCCCACACCTCACCGCCACGCTCCCACACCCCCTTCACTCCCTGTTGTTTATCAGTCTCCTGCCCCGAGTCAAGGACTGCCCACCCCTCGTGGTGGCAGGAGCCAGAGCCGGCCCACCGGACCTCCTGAATACCACTGAGATCCAGGCAGTACCGGTCCAGCTCCTGACAGAGGAGTGGCAGCCTCTCCTCCGCAGTGAGCATTCGAACATTCCACGTGGCCATATGTAGTGGCTTTTTGTTACTTGTGGAGGAGCCCCAAGGGTAAGGATTCAGTCTCCTGGCTCTGCCAAATGGGGTTTGGCCAGGAGACGTCATAGACACCTGCCACCCCGGGGCCTCCGGCACAAGCTTAATACACTTTTTTTGTCCAGCAAAAACAACCTCCTACCTCTTCATGGTGCCAGACGGCAACGCTGTGGTGGGCAGTGCCGTGGGGGGAGGGCCAATTTAGATTGGCCTTTCCCTTCATGGCCATTGTAACCACGACAGCGGCCAAATGGGAGCTCTGGACGGGTGTGAGGGGCTGGTAACCCCTCCACCTTCAATTAATTACCACCAAAACACAATTAAAATATATATGTACATATACAGTATTTAACATGCATGCGTCGGTGTCTTGATTAGCCTGTTTTATTATGCGGTCTACTATAGACTGCATATGTTTTTACGATTGTGATGTAGGGCTCTCCGATGTGTTTCTGGGTTGTACTATATTTGTTGTTCGGCATTTAGGTCCGACGTTTGCTCCTGAAGGAGCTCCCAGCAAGTGGAGTGAAACATTGGACATCGTGCCAAACAACACACGGTACAACCCAGAAACACATCGGAGAGGTGTAAAATAGAATACAATTGTAGATTTGTGTATTTTAAAACGAGGTTAGAGCCCAACTGCTATATATATGATCTAATATATTATATAACGGTCATATTTATGCACTCGTATTTCCATGAGTCCAGACCAGATATTTAACTCATCAGTACCACCCGGGGTGACATCACTTTCGTGGTTTCAATGTCTTTAAATGACCAACAACAGTGAATAATGTGATAACAATTTGAAATGAGTGTGGTTATCAAATAATTTATTTGTATTACACATTGGTATCGCTAACGTTTTACTACCTTAGGTGATACCAATTTCTGCTCTGGTTCACGGACAAAATCCATACTTGATTTGAAGCTTTCGTGACTGCAGAAATTACTCTTTAGTTATTTCGGTAAAGTCACATTTTCTACGCTTCTATACCAACAAGGACTATTTCCACTTATGCAAGCCGTGATTGAAAACCAAACTCAGATCATTGGGATCATAGCACAGTGCACTAACCAGAATGCCACCACTCCACCCAAGTTTCACCAGTATGACAATACAAATTCCATCTCAAGCATTACAATAATAAAAAAGATAGTAGGTTAATATTTTTGGCCAGTGTTGTTTAATGCAGAGTTGTAAATAATTTAGATGGAATGACTCATAGCTGGAGACTCCACTTAAAATACATTTGAATGCGTCAGGGGACCACGTATCAAAGTGACATGCATCTATGAATCAAGAGAGTGAGATCTTATGTCATAAAGAGGCTGGAAAGATAATTTATGTAGTTCAGAGCCAAAGTTGTTTCATCACCATTTATTTTTGAAAACATAAAGTCAGTTAAGACTATATTACCTATTGTCCACGATCTGCAACACCATCCGGTGATTTCCACTGAAACTGTGTATATTGAAATACCTCTGATACGTGACACTCTTTTCCATGATTTATAATTTCCCAGTTCTTTTGGCTGAACCGTTAATCTTCAATATTATCAATTGATCAGCACTCCCATTGATTCACACATATTCCAGATGAGGAGTTAAAGATAGGCAATATTTTTCCTGTTTTCCACAGCAAGATGATGAAGATGATGCTGATAAAATTATGATGACAATGCTAATGAAGTTGACACGGTCACCCATGGATAACAGGATCAAGCATGGAGAGGAAGAAAAATAATAAATTGACTATTGAGATGATATACATGTTGAGCTTCTTTTGCACCGTACGTTGCTAACCGTGCAAATCAGGGGTGCGGGGGAAGGACAATACACTAAACACACAAAATTATGATGAATGTGCAGGAAAACATGAGATAATCATGATAACAGGATGATGATGATGATGATGATATTGATGAAGAGGATGGATAATGATAAGACAATAATGGATGTTGGAGATGCAGATAAAAAAAATGAAGGTGATAATGATGTATGATGATCCTTTCAAAGATGAAGGGGTCACAGCAGAAGGGTAGAGCTGTAGTTTCAGCAGTTTCATGCATGTGTGTAACAATGTTAGTGTAAAAGTGGATTGCACTTGGTTTCTGAGGTCAAGACCAGTCGATACGGTAAACATTTTACTTTGCTTTTCAGTAGCTTTATATTTTATTTAAAAACAAAGACATGTTACCAGCGTGAACTTGTTCTTCTCCGGACCATAGCTGTTGAGCAGCTTCGTTTTGAGATTAACCTTCAAGATGTCTCCACTTGTGGTGCCACAGTAAAAGAAGCTGTCATCTGGTGCCACCTAGACTCGGACAACAAGCACCACCACCACCATGACCGTTGAGGTTTTTCACAAATAACGGTTTATCCAAATGTAATATTTGTATCCAAGAACAAACGGGCGACAATCCTCCATTCTGGATCCCTCCACACATCCCCAAGTTCATTGACCCAGATAGGACATTACAGCTATGAACCATTTTAAAGATCTTTTTTTTTACATAAGCCATTGACAATTGTGCTGAGGCCATCACACTTCAAATGCACGAGGACCAGCCTAAAATCCAGGAAAGGTGTCACAAGGGAAGGTGGAGGCTTTAAGTTATTGGAAAAATCTGACAGTTAAATTTCATATATCTGGCTTTTGACCCACTCTGTAGGAATGTTTAAGTAATGCCTGAACATAACAAGGCTGGATTGGCAATGTTAATAAAATCACATGCAGAGCACAGTATTAAGCAAATGTTTGTTGTGGAAGAATTAAAATTAATTCTAATTCATCATATAAATTTGAGTTTATTCATTACCAGCTGAATAAGTCAGTAAAACAGATAATTGACATCAAGGCAAGCCCACACAAAACAAAAAAAGGTTTAATTACTTTTCCATAACTGTTTATCGTAAATAAGTGACATCGTAACTGATCTGAGGCACCCTGCCATCCAATGCGGTGCAGTAAGACAATACAAAATAAAACCATACAAACTTACATGGAAAACCTGAATCCAATCGTGGATGAAAAATGGCTGTAATTATTATTAATTTCAAAGGAACATCATATCATGCATATAGGTGTGGTTGAACATATACATGATTTGTTCTGCCACAAATGCAAGAAGGAATGAGTACAAGGATGGAGGATATCTACTTACTGCCACACACTTGATTATCCTCTTAAGTTGACCTGTCTGGCAGTCTGTGGGTCGAATTTTACGGTTGGGGACGTCCAGTTGCCATACCCGAATGGTGTCACTGAGGAATATTATAAGAAGCACATAAAAGTTGATGAGAAAAGTTCAGTTTGCAAAATATGAAGAATGTTTGTTTTGCATTTTGTGTTTCACTCTCACGACAACATATCAAATGTTATTCGATGAGAAAATTAAGCAATTTCTCTTTCAGTACCTCGATATTGTTATTCAAAAAAGTGTTTTTTACAATAATAGCATAACTGTAAATATGAGAACACTTTCTAGCAAAGACTGTAGTATCAGTATAAAGTTTGGAGCACGTAAAAAACTAAATGTTTCACACACCTCAAGAACATGTGCAAACCTTATGAGATACTAAGTTACCAAATAAATTTGAAGGGGGAAAATTGATGCTTCATGCTAATGCACACGTACTCGTGAACCGCTGTGCCAGTGCATCAGTGGCGTTCACTTTAATCAGCCACAGTGCACATGGCAGTAGTGACCAAACAACCCATCACTAGGTGCAGCTCAATAATAACATTTCAGGAAAAACGTTATTTTGAAGTGGGAGCAGTTCCGGTAACTCGGCCCTGGCAGCGGAGCCAGACACGAGTACTCCCGGGATGCTCTTACAAAATGCTAAATTTAAAACTCCACAGCCAATCAGGGTGAGTGAACCATAACCACCCGAGATGACCATCGCGTGTGACCCACTCAGCGCATGTCTTGTGGCTCTCAGCCCTGTGAATGCGATGTCGCTCATAGCATCTGAATGTTTGACAACCACTGGTACATATATAGCGAATGAGTCATGAGTCATAATGTCAATTGAAAACATATTGTACAGTTAATATGTCGTAATTTACATTGAAAAAACGTTAAGTTTATACATTCTTGCTTAGGAACAACATACTTCGGGTTATCAGAACTGTGTTGAATTATGTTGTTTGAATGTGTTTTTAAAAGCAATTGAATCTATTAAAATTTTACTTTGAACAGATTTTTTTTGGAATGTATTGTATTTTTATAGAATTACCATAGTAATACACAAATATTATTTGGGTCTTTTGGTAAAGCCACGTAGATAAAACAAATATTAAAAATATCACGACGTTTCGATCGCAACACAAGCAATCGTCATCAGGTGAAAAAATATAAAGGTTTGAGATGGGTGTAGCTCAAGGGTCATAAGTGAAGTGGGCGGGGCTAGAGATCAAATTTGCACTGTAAATGGCAGATCGGAGAGCTGAGCTACCTCCACGACGACAAAGGTGTGGAAGTGGCAATTGTATTGTGAGAGATTAGCATGTCAACAATGTAAGGAAAACGAAAACCACCGCCACATCGAGGAAAACGTGCAATGGTGGCTGTGTAAGTGAGACATTTAGCCTGCTAATATAAGATCAGCATGTTAATGTAAGAAAAACGAGAGCCACCGCCACATCAATGAAAACGAGCAACGTTGGCTCACTTCGCTTATGACCCTTGGGCTACACCCATCTCAAACCTTTATAAAATCCTGCCTCAGCAGCTCTCCCGCTATATTTTTTCACCTGATGACGATTGCTTGTGTTGCGATCGAAACGTCGTGATATTTTATTATTATTTATTTATCTACGTGGCTCTACCGAAACACCCAAAGAATATGAATTCCTGCAGTCACGAAAGCTTTAATTAAAGTAATAAACACATTTCAAATATACAATTTTATTATATTTTCAATACAAATTTTTGTTATTTTGGTAACTAGCCAAGTCTTTATATTCTTCAAAAAATATGTTATGCCTTCACATATTGTAATTTCTTCCAAACAATACAAAATGTTTATTATACACTTCGTCTTTGGAAAACAGGCATGTCTGAATCGACTCTAAACTGAAAAAAATGTCATATTTATGGATACCATTCTGTGCAGATATACAATGATACATATACTGCATTCAAAAGTTAAAGGGGGCCCAATCCATATATTTAGAGATGGATTGGGCCCCCAAATTCTTTGGGGAATGACAGCCAAAGGAAGAGGGGTTAGTGTGATTTGGTGGCTTGGGGGTTGGTGGATCATTAGCGATTGTAACAGCAACATCACCGCGAGTCATCATCAATCAGCACTGTTTAAATCCGAATCATGGAAAAGTTTGCTTCCACACTTTTGCAAAATTTCGATGTTATGTGGAAATTCCCCAAAAAAAAATGATTACAACAAATTCACACGGCAGTTGTTGGCCCGATTCTCCATGACGAATGGGTGGTCCCATTACAAAAAAACATCCGGCAGCCAATCAGGAACCGGCGGATTGCCCAGCAACCAAGACCACCGTCCCCCCCCATGCAGCCAACACCATCATCAGCACCCTCTGGACGAGCAGGCCAACCCCCACCACACCCCTCATTACAGACCTGGTCAAAGAGACTCAGCATCCCCGGGTTTGGAAGGATTAACTAATATTTGTTCCCGCTGTGTTATGTATGTTGGCTTTCGATATGCCTGTTTAGATGAATGCTTTGCACATTGCTAATTTTAGTCATTGTTTGCATTTAGGCAATTTTTTGTTCCAAAAAAAACATCATTTTTATATTTGTACCAGTACTGCAATTTCAGTGCCATGTTTGTTCAGGTGTGTACCCCCACATCAACACAAATTGTCTTCAGACCCATGGGTGCACATACATCATCACCAGCTATCAGTACCACCACCATATCATCATCATTATCACATTTATCGCTACATCTTTCTGCACGTGCACCGTGCATGCCATTCACACAGCAGCACAGATGTTGCCCCCTGTAGCCCAGCTGGTGTCTATGAGGGTTACAACTGCAAGTGTGCATGCACTGTGTGGTATGCTGGGGTGGCAGTGAGAATGGGCATTGGCAAGTATAAAAGGTCATATAGACAAGCATGTGGAGGACACTGTACTCTTTGGTTCTTTCGATAAAGTCACTTTACCGAAAGAACCAATCATGAAAACTTCAAATCCAGAATGGAGGACACTGTGATCAACGCAAGGCAAGAAAGATTGGCCAGCCAATAACTGCTCGGCATGCCTTGTGACCTTCAAAAATAGTCATGGCTGGTACATGCACCTCCTGCCTCGCTGCATTGTGATGCATGGTGCAATGGATGTTATTTCTCTGGAGCAGGGGATTCCATCCACAATGTGGAACACAGCAGGCAATGATAATGCCATTGATGTACTGCTGGGCCTAGATTAAGCTGCTCTCAGATCTGACAAACTTGAACTAGCGTGCCTTTAAAATGCCAATTGTATGCTCAATCACATAGCATGTGTGGCGATATCATTGTAATGCTTCTGTGGGCACAGCTGCACGGAATAGGTTCCGTGACCAAAATGCCTTTCACTCCCTCCATATTGAGCACTGAAGTCTATTATATGAGCCACGATTGATTAGGCTAAAATGAAAGTGGAATGTTTACATTTTATCGAGGTGAGCATAAAAACATATGTGGCACATTTACAGAATGGGACCCTTTGCACTTCACGAAGCTGTCACCTACGAGTGTGGTATGATTGCCACTTGTGTCTACCTCTCTAAGGAAGTCAGCAATAGCATGGAAATAATTCCGGGTTATGGCCTTCTGCTGCTGTGTGACTGGGAGCCTGATGCAATGGTCTGCAGCAGTTACCAATGCACAAGTGACCTTCCAAATGTGTGACAAGCAGATAAGTGTTGATTATGATGATGAGTGATGACAATAAATGATGATCATAACGACATTGCTGCTGCAGGTGATGATGATCAAATCAACTCTCAATCCATAATGGCACACCAACCTTCATCTTGCGGTGATCCATCAAGAATTGCTTCCTAAGCTCTTTACTACTAGTGCACACCCTGAAATTGGCTGCAACTTAAATATATTTCTCAGAATATATCCGATTTTTTGTGGAATTGGCAGTCATTCCACCAAGGAATGGCAGAATGACAATGAAACTAGCTCGACAAATCGAGCTCTTAATCTCCTTTGGACCAATGTCAGTCAGCTGTGTGACCAGATTCTGCTGTTTACTTCCTACAATGCAGAACTCAGATAATGGGTTAACCGCTGTAGGGATTTAATTGTTAGGCAATAACTCTGCCATAGAACCACACACCTAAATTCTATACATAAACACACAAAGTATATGGTATCTTTAGTGCAGTGTATGCGCTACATGAGTTCAGATCCAGTTGGGCGACAATCTTGAAGAGCACTCAATTCCAAGGTCATAAGTGAACATATCACTTGTGAGTGTACTCCGCCCATTGTCTCCCTCAGAATGCTAAACATGTATCATTTGTGGGAAGTAAACAATGGTTGTCTCATGGGTGGACTTGTTTCTGCTGAAGAACTGTGTAATTTTCACAACTGGCCCACACTCATCATTGGAGATGATCAGCTGACCAAGCCAATATACTTATCCAATTTAATATTTTATTCACGCGTGAAGTACATATTCATACACAAAACATTTCAAGGCTTGTAGTATGCATTGCTACTGTGATACTCACTTTCCAGCTGTAATGAAGGAGAGGTCGCTGGTGTTGGTGAAGCGGACAGTGTGTGTGGTGCCAGCCGTTGGCAGTGAAACAGCATTGCCACACACAGCTTCCTTCTTAGTCACGTTCCAGATCACCACACTTTAAAGAGATACACATTTTTGCTTGGCTTGGATTACATGGTTATCTACCATCCTTTCTCTTTTGAAGTAAATTCAATGATGCAGGCCAATGTCATTGATTAATTGGGAGATATAACAGCTGAACAGTCGGTCTCATTTGCAACACTTATTTGGTACATCTGGTTCCAATGTCAGTATCTAGCGATAAAAGCTAACCCGACTTCACAACCTGTCACATCACATTGTACAAAAGGGGTAATTTAATTATTCAAGCCATTTCAATTTTGATTAATACAGTGTCTTGTCTAATTTAGAGTTAACATATTCAATGTTTGGTTGTAATTTTTCTCAGTTTTAGGTGACAAGATCATTGACTATTTTTGGGGATTTAAATGTAAGTAAAAATGAACACCAAATAACAAAAATACCTGCCATCATCCTGGCCTCCCAAGGACGCCAGGTAGAGGTCATTCGGTGAGAAGGCCAATGCTTCCACCTTCACCTTGTGCAAAGTGAGCCGGGCATGTAGCTCACGCTTCTCAAAATTCCACAAAATCACGTCCGCCTGCATTCAAAAGACCATTCAAGTACAGGGAACTGTGTGCATGTGGAATGCAAATGAGATTTCTCAATTCTATTTTCAGTTACTATGGCTCTAAAGAAAGCTGTCTCTGGTGTGGACCAATCAGCTTAAAGGACAATTCATAAATTATCAGTGTTGTTTTTTTGTTTGCATTCTGACTGCAAGTATTGTGGTTAATGTAAACATGATTCCTTGCAAAAGGTTTCAGTTTTGTCGCCAGAAAAAAGGGGAAAAACCCTATTATTACAATTACACACATTAATGTTGAGAAGGCTTTTGTAGATATTAAGAGACTTCCTTTTTTTGTTGACAAATAAAAACAATTCTGGAGAGACACAACTGCTCCTTTTCCTAATTAACACAAAGCAGCATATGTATATATCAGGAAATTAATAAAGGTGGACCAGGATGAAAATTATGAAATTACAGTGTGTGTGTGAGTTATTAAGTGTAACAAGCTAAAATTTGAGTTTATGGGTTTTAACATTAAGCTCGACTTGATTTAATCTCGGTCCGCCTTCACTAAATGGCATAAGAATTCAAATTCTTGACAGTGAATTAAAATTAGAAATAATAATGGAAATGTTCAGCAACAAAAAAAATAATACTGTATGTATGAAGATAACAGATTTCAATCAGAATATATTAATTTTTCAATCAGAGTATGTTAGTGAAGGACGGGACCAGAACAAGTTCAGATATCATTCGCCATAATATTAGCCATGGTTGGTAATAATCTCAGGTCGCCGGGTTTGTACTTCAGTGCAATAACTAATTTACCAGCATCCCGCCCCAATGATTTATATTTTGTACCTTAAAGCCCATGTAGGTAACTTGACCGGATGCAACATAGCGACCACTGTTAGACACAGCCAGACAAGACACGTTGTTGGTATGTCCATGCAGAAATGACTGACGGGCCCCCTTGAGGCTCCGGATGACCACAGTACAGCCCAGTGGATAGAGCAAGTGCTCACAATCGGGATGGGAAACCAGACCGGATGGCACCTGCCCTGCTTAACAAAAATACACACACACACATCCAAAATACAGATGCACATACCATCTATATAAATCTTAATTAGTGAATAGAGTACCGCTAAGATTAACACATACCGTTTTATACCAAAATTTCGTGTTGTGGAATACCAATACCTAAAGCCAGCTTGGAAACATTTGTTTACACACAATCACCCAGTACTCGCTATAGTTATCAAGTAGAATTGCTCAAAGATAACAGGTAGACCGATAGACATTTTCGGAATTTATATAATCGGTTCCAAAAGTCAGTAACCGGTAATTGTTTCCAGTGGATTTTTAGTCATGCACTGATTGGCACGTGCATACGTACAACGGTACTGAGACCTAAGCCATCACGTTGTACATTTGCCTTCGCTTCTTAGTTAATAGGTAATGGCCAACCCTGCAATTGCTTTTCTTACTCAAGCCATTGCTGACAGAAGGGCCTCCACTAGAGAGAGTTTTAGATGGTATACGATCTACTACTCTTCTACCCTGACCAGACCCCTTGAAATGTGGGCTTGTCCCATACTTCACCCCACCACTTACAATATGTCATTCAACTGTGGGTGTACCCATGGTTAGTGCTCGGTAGCCAGAGACAGATGAATTCAAGACACTTTCCCAACCAATTATTTCAACTGTTGCGCCGGGATATGGAGTCGAAACGGCAACCTCTGTATTGCAATTCCAGTGTACTAACCATTACACTGCAGCAGCACCCTTCATTTCTCAGTTGAAAATGGAATGTTTTGTTTATTAATAGACATCGTTTATCTGCAGCAAACCAGTAACTGCTATTTAACTATTTTATTTCATGCGGTTACGGGTAATGAACAAAAGATTGAAACACCTTCTCCCAGCTTTCCTTTGCAATTGCAATAAATGTAAAAAAAAAATCTGTAACCTGGTTCATCCAAATTAGTGTTTGAAAACGTAGTACAGCAAAGATGAGTGAATGTTAAGATGTCATAAATCAGTAAGACATTGTATCGTGTCAATAAAATATTTATGTAATGTTATTCAATATTTAGTCTCTGAATTATATTTTCATTACGGCTCTGTATAATGTAATGGTTTGCCTGAATTTGCTATTAAATTCCTCTCTGTTTTGTACAATGTAATTTTCGATAGAAGAATAAGATACTAGTGGCGCTCAGGATACATTATTCATTGACCCTCCATGCCATGCACTAGTCCTTTTATGGAAATGTAGCTGTGGAGAATTCTGATGAATTGGACAGAAAAATTCAATGATTGCTGAACATATAATACGGCTATATTAAATAGCGATGATCATGCTTGACAAGTCATCATGACAACCAGTAGCATTATCTCATTAGGTGATAGCCTATGGGCATCTCAAACCGGTACCTAACCCTAATCTGCTCTTCGATTGTCACTCAACAGAAATAATTATTTTCGCAGCTCTACCTTTCCTTACTATAACACAAGTAACCTTGTTAATCTTTACACATTATTTTATTTAAAAAAACACACTCTTGGGGATCTTTGTATGTGAAATCCTATCCGTACATGTTAAATACCATGGACAGGCAAATTATGGATTGAGGTCAGTACCACCCTAAAATTTAATTTCAGCAATAAATAAAGGAGATGGGAAACATAAATTAGCTTTTCGTCAGCTTAGTGGCGCATTAATATGTAATGACCAACGCGATTTATCAGGGACAACTTGCAGTCTTCTCTTTCAATGTAGGGCAGTTTTATTCTAACCTCACGAACAATGCATGTTGAACTTCTTTCACACCGTTCGTAGCCAACCGTGCTAATCGGAGGTGCAGGGGAAGGACAACAAATAAAGACACAAAACATTGGCGGTGACAGCGCCAATGGAGGTGTCCATTTCTGCACAATTCTTTAAATCTAAGACAGAATAAGAATGAACTCGTTTTGCACCCGTTTAGCTATCGAAAAGAGAAGAATAAAAAAAATATAAAGTCAATTCCTTTGTCTGACTTAGCGAGTAGCTCAGGAAAGACTTTCACTTTGCTTTATTTAATAGAGCATAGCAGCTGAATTGTCTCTTGGGAATGAGACATTCTGGAAAAGACAATTTGTGGAATACAAACTAAACACAAAAACAGTTCTAAAGAAATTCGTTTTCAATCTGGAGACGATAACGTCAGCAAAGGAATATAGTGTACCACGGCTAACTCGGTGATGCGTAAATCCTCATCCACACTCGACCGCTCTCTTGTACTCTTCACTTCATCCCCCTGGCACCACAGGGCCCTATGATTATTCACTACTCGTCTGCTCTCCATCCACCTGCCACCCGGTAACTCCAAATCTTCCGCACTTATCATGCTGTCGCGCCCACTCCGTCGGCCCGCGCCAACCTCCTCCGTTCGGTATCTCTCTTACGCGGCGCCGTCACTGCGGCTTGACACCGCTCACCCGGGGCCTCCTCCCTCACGGACTCTCCTTCTACTTTAATCCTTGACTTACAACTTTCGTGACTGCAGGAATTCATATTATACTAGCTGTACTACCCGGCTTCGCCCGGGACTTGTATCTACCACGGCCGGCCGCCTTTGTCTCCCCAGTGGCGATGTTAATACGCTACAGCAGTTACTCGTTTGAGGCTGAGTCGACCTAGGGGAGGTTCAAATAATCGTCACCGGTGGTGGCCGTGAGCGGGAATCGAACTCGGTTCGCCGGGTTGGTAGCGCAGCGTAGCGTTAAGCACTACACCCACCGCTCCTCACACACCACACACGCACAGACACACACACAGACACACACAGACACACGCAGACACACACAGACAGACACAGACAGACACACACACACACAGACACACAGACAGCACGCTAAGCACTACACTATCGCTCCCCACACACCACACACGCACACACACAGACACACACACAGACACACACACACAGACACAGACAGCACGCTAAGCACTACACTACCGTTCCCCCTACACAACACACGCGCGCGCGTCCATAGGTACACATACACGCGCTTGCTGCAGACACACACGACTTTCAGGGTGCGTAAGGCAGTAAACGACTGAAAAAATAAAGCGGCAATGCTGTGCGAGGAACGCCTTAGACCAGCAACACATTTGTGTAATGCGAGCGTAAACACACAAACACATACAAACACATACACACACATACACACACATACATACACACAGACATACACATACACACAAACACACACATACATGCACACAAACACATACACAATACACATACATGCAGACACAGACAGACACATAACACACATACATACACACACATACATACACAAAAACACACACACACATACATAGACACACACATACATACACACAAACACATGCACACACGTACATACACACATACATAGAGACACGCAGACATACACATAAAGACATAAAAAAAAACCCACATACATACACACACACATACACACAAACACATACATACACATACATACACACATACATAGAGACACACAGACATACACATAAACACAAACACACATACACATGACCCGGCTTCGCCCGGGACTTGGATCCACGATGCCCCGCCGCCTTTGTCTCCCCAGTGACGATGTTCACACACGACAGCAGTTACGCGTTTGAGGCTGAGTGGACCTAGGGGAGGGCCAGGTCCGTTTCAAATAATCGTCAGCGGTGGTGGGCGTGAGTTGGAATCGAACTGGGGTCGCTCAAGCAGCTTAATGACTGTTTGCACAAAGAACATATAAAGAATCGATTATAATAACCAGGCTAGAGTCCACATTATAGACTGCCAGTACACGCAGTCAGCTTCATAAGCAGGCTAGAGTGTACATGATAGAGTGGCAGTACGCTCACCGAGCTTAATAAGCAGGCTACAGTGTACATGATAGACTGGCAGTACGCTCACCCAGCTTAATGAGTATTTGTACAGTGAACATTAAAGTAATCGATTGTTGGCGCGTTGGGTTTAAAAGTAATATTAATAGCACACATTGTGGTGGGGGTGTAGTGAAGAGTAGGAAAAACTTTGATGAATTTACCTCACAGTGGCGTGGTGGGTGTCGAGGCCTAGTAGCGTGCAAAGCCTGCGGCCTCGCCTAAAATAGTCGGCTTGGAAGAGGCAGGGTACGGGTGGCGTTCCTTCCCCCCCCCCCCCCCCTCAGCGCTCCAACAATACTGTGTAATGGCTATTATTTAATTAAATACGGAGCTTATGAAAGTGGCGAAGGCGTGGCTAGCCGTTGGCAGAAGCAACCGCCGTCCAATGAAACTGCAGCCCTTGGCGAAGGCGTCGCTAGCCGTTGCCAGGTCCAATGAAAGCGGCGAAGGCGTGGCTAGCCGTTGCCAGGGGCAACCGCCGTCCAATGAAAGTGCGTATGGGCCGAAATACACACACACACACACAGACAGACAGACATGAACGATTTTATATATATAGATGGTTCTTTCGGTAAAGTCATGGAGATAAAAAAAAAGGAATAACAATAAAATAAAAAAAAATTAAATGAAAATAAAGTGAATATTATTGTATTGTTATTCTTTTTTCTATCCATGTGACTTTACCGAAAGAACCATAGAATACTTTAATCCTGTTACCCGAGCCACGCCCTCCATGATATCACCCATTATCTCCTACACCACCCCCTGTCCCCACCATGTTTTCATCCCCATTGGCAAATCGGGCCATACGACCCCTGGGGCATCCCATTGTCCACCTTGCCACGACCTATTCATCAAAGCTTGGTGCCTTGACAACTCTGGTCAGTTTCCTCGTCCCTCCCAAGCTGTCCTCGAAGACCCCAACTCCCCTTGGCTGGCTCTATAACACTTTGTCCTCAGTTGCCCTTGCTCCCTCCATGCTGTCCCCCGTCTGATTACGTAATCTCCATACTGTGTGTGCGGGTGCCCCAAGACCCTGGTAGTGTGGGTCATTGCACATACGACTGATTGGTGGGTCACTGCGCAGGTAGGGGATTCATTTCCCGCAATCATAACTGGCAGAGAAATAACATAAATAACACACTCACCATAGTTATTTTGCTAATTTTCCTAATGTAAATGCTCACATTTATAAAATGACGATTATTTAACAATATGCCAAGCTTTCTCGGAAATCTTGAAGAAATCCATGGGCCTTGGACTTCAGGTTAGACGGAAGCGGAGAGGGTTAGACCATTACCTATTCTGTGATACTCATGATCATGAGAATACAATGTTCATTATTGAAAACAAAACAAACATAATAAAAAAACAATACAGCACTCTTGTTATTAAAAAAACAGCAATGGAATGCATGCACATGTACTGTGTTCGGGATGTACGTGTCAATCAACTGCTGGATGAATGCCTCCCTAAAGCGTGCGCGTCGCACGGGTTATTTGACCATACTTCACCCTTGTAGGATAATGGACGTTTGCTGCACTGCCCTCTGCTGCCCACAACATACTGCGGATTACCTATAACACCTGTTATGCATGCTCTCCCATGTGAGCACTCCCAGGGCTCAAGCCCGCTTAGCTTCCAAGGTCGGGTGCATTTGGGATGATTTAGTCATTGGCATTGCTGTGATTACAATACAGTACTGTATTATTATTCACGACAATACATAATTGTGAATCATTACTGTAACAGTGCAATGAGCTATTCGTGCGAATATTGTTACTGCATTACTTGTGACTTTAAAATGTTGCACAGAGTGCAAGAGTTCAGGCGTTCCTACTATTATCATCTATTTGACTACACGAAGTCTTGCATTCTTGATTCATTCATATTCAGCCACGAATAATCCACTGCTGTATGAAAGTCTCCCGAAGTCACTATCTTTCACGGTCCCCATCATCATCAGCCATGGCCCATCCACTGCCGGATGGTCTCCCCAAAGTTGTCGCCATCTCCCATGATCCTCATCAACAGTAGCCATGGTCAATCCACTGCAGGATGATAACCACCCCTCAATCCACCTCTAGCACCTGCACACATCATCACCCGATTCCATCGCTCCATATTTTCGGCGGAGGTCCTCTCGAACCCGTCCTTCTCTTTTGGCTCACACCACCGTTATCATTCTTGCCCATCGTCCATCAACTCTTAATGTAGCCAAGAACACGTTCTACCCAGGACCCAAATATATTTCCTAACAATTTAAATGGTGCCATTCACCTGTGAACGTTGTCTTATCCGCAATGGGTTCCTTCTCTGTCTTCCGTGCAATCCCAAACGTGCACCTCATTATTATCAGTGTCACGATCTCTCCACTGCTGGATGAAAAGGTCCAATGGGAACGTCAACTTTGATGGCATGTCTCAACTTTGCTGGCACGTCCAACTAAAAGCCTCTTTCCAGCACCGATCATGCGCCAATCTCATTCGCCACGTGGGGTTGACCGCCCCCAATGTGACATTGCAGCCGCTGCGACCTCTTCATCGAGTCTCCGTCGAACGCAAAGAAGGTATAGCTCCCCGCCACCACCGGCTGAACAACGGGTATCGATCGCCGCTCATGTCGGTGACCGAGAATCGATCTCCTTACCGTTGAAACCAATCACCGACTCCAGCTCCAGTCGCGTCCCTTGCCCGTCAGCCATGGTCCGCCTCTCTCACGCGACAGCTTAAACGCCTGCCCACGGTATGTCTCGTACAATCTTGATCTCTTGTCGTCTGAGCGACGCCACCGACTAATTGTTAATGTATCGTAAGAAAACCCCAGACAAAAACTATTAAATGAAGTGGAGAGATTTGAACTCCCGTTTCGGTGCGTTCGCTGCCCGGGGATTGTTTACGCGTCTCGTTGCCATGGAGTCGCTAGGGGCAACCGCCCCCTCCTCACCCCCCTTTCAAGCCTCCAGCCCCGCCCCTACCCCGCCCCTACCCCGCCCTCCCGCACCCTCCCCTCCACCCCCCTTTTAACCCCCACCCCCTCTGCCTCACACCTTTAAAGGGGCAGTGTCGTCTCACGCGTGCCATTCATAAAAACACAACAGTCGTGACAATTCTTGTATTGCGTATGGCTGCAATGTTAACTCGTAGCTGTCAACCCCTTATCAGCGCCCTACCTTATCACAGGCCAATTCAGTCCTTATTGGTCACCCCGTATCCTTAGAAAGCTCAACGTTCACCCTACAATTTAAGTCCCATTACAAGGAAAAAATACAAATAGACACTCACCACTAGTACACTCACCAACACTATTACTATCAACCAATGCACTCACCACTACATACCTGTCAACCCCTTGTCAGTGTCCTACCTTATTACTGAAAAAATTAAGACCTTAATGGTCCTTATAAATCTCGACGTTCATCATACAAAGTCCCATCACAAGGGAGAAACAAACAGACACGTCTTTTGCCCGTATTGAAACGGCTGTATGCCGTATGGACCTGAAAACTCAATTTCCCTGTACAAGAATATGGGTAAACCGTATGGGTTGGCAGGCATGTAAACTAAACGATACTTTTTTAATTTTATTTCACCAGAGGTGAGGTACACTGAGCTGTACAGCTCTTTTTCAGTAGCGACCAGGCCACAGATGATTGCTGAAACAAATTGGATTATCGCGTGGAAATGTATAGCAGCGCAAATTCTCTAAACGCGTGATGTTGATTCTAAATGCCGATATGGAAAACCCGGAGGACCCGGAGAAAAATCCACGCGACCACGGTGGGGGGGGGGGGGGGGAGACATGCGAACTCCAAATATACACGTAAGCGTCAGGATTTGGTTCGAACCCACGACCTCCTGTATACCAGGCAAGGAAGTGAACATCTCCTAGCCACCGTGTGCTCAGGAGTTAAATGCCGGACATCGAGGTTAGCTGCTAGCCACGACGAGAGAGGCTTCAGGAGAGAGTCCTTGTAATGTTATTGTTCCTCCTAAATGCCCGTTGTGTAACAATGTTCAAAATAACATTTAATTTAAAAGTTTGATTGAGAATTTTAAGGAGGAAGTAATTGCATTGCTCCATTTGATTTTTACAAACTGGATAATTTTTTCAGTGTTGCCGCCCCCCCCCCCCCTCGCAAAGTTAATTGATTTAGTTATAAAAACCTCTTCTTAGTTCTTTCGGTAAAGTCACGTAGAAGGGAAATAATAAAAAATAAAACATGATAAAATAATTCTCACGACGTTTCGGCCACAACGCAAGCAGCCATCCTCAGGTGAAGAACAGGTCTGTCGGAAAGACATTCAGACGCTGTCTTTCCGACAGACCTGTTCTTCACCTGAGGACGACTGCTTGCGTTGTGGCCGAAACGTCGTGAGAATTATTTTATCATGTTAATTTTTTATTATTTTATTATTTCCCTTCTACGTGACTTTACCGAAAGAACCAAGAAGATGAATCCCTGCAGTCACGAAAGCTTTAAATCGAAATATAAAAACCTGTCGTATGTAGTTTTCGCGGCTGCGCTGTACGGCTCTCAGATCTGTTTTCGCTTTGTCGTAATGTGTACCCCGTGTTGTTAGGCACGGTGCGCGCTTTTGGCTGGAAGATTTGCCAGAAAGGCGCCCGACGTGCTGAACCAAACATAAACTGACTTGTCCGACGTTTTTGCCCCACGTGATTTGTGTCATCATGGTGCAGAGGGAAACATCAGCCGTCATACTGGACAGCATGCGGTAACAACCCGACACACAGATCGGGAGACCGTGTTAATTTGATTTGAATATCGAAGATGGCATTCTCTTTCTCCTGGACAGAAATGACTCACCACCGCTGCTGCTGCACAAACATTCTATAGTGTGTTTATAAAAAAAGAGGCACCTCAGGGAGTCCTCCATGATAATTAGTTGTATTTAAATTGCCACTTGTGTAATGAATGGCATAACGGATCCCTTTATTGCTGCTGATTTTTGTTCCTCTCGAAATACACAAGGTTTTGAATTGTTTAACAGCCTGGTCATTAAAGACCGTATTATATCATTAATAGTGTGTGCAAAGGCGGTCTGATGTATTTTGCCGCTCTCACTCCCGCTAATCTTTTCCCTCGTCTGATTTTATTACTCTTCGGCACTCTTTAAGCGATTTATTTCCCCATACATTTGCAATTAAAACACTTGTTATCGCTTGAGTGGAGGTTATCAACGTGTTAAGTCCCTTAAGTTCAACGTGCACCTAGTTTTAGTGTCCTCTACCTTAATGTGTTGCCACCACATATAGCCCGGCACATAGAAACGTACATATGCCTTCAGAAAAAAGGACACTCACATTTTTAATCACATGTAAAAAAAAATCCCCCCAAATAATACACATAACGACTTGAAATCATAGCAGATAAAATGCAAAAAGGGTGGGAGTATTTAAATTATGTAAAACACATCCTCAATATGGGAGCATCCGCAATCACCCTTTCACCATAACCACACAATGCTCGGTGCTATACACCCACTTTGTTCATGACTGTTTCTCGTGCGAAATATAAAATAGCCTTATTTAACCTGGTGAAAATATTTCTTTTACAAACAATGGATTGAAGAACTAAAGGGCATCAAGATAAATGGTGAACGTATTTACAGATTTACTGTGGAGATAAATCTCAGCAAAATTATTGAATCGCTTCATAAAGAAGACGTCAATGCTTAGCTCAAGATACAATGTGAGCGAAATAAATAAATATGCCTGTTGAACATAGGCACAAATGGAAAACACAATTTGAGTATGCACACTTAGGGTAGTTATTGAAGTTGGAGAGGGACATAAATTATTAAATGAATAGGCAGACGACACGGTGGCGAGATGTTAGCTACCCCCCCGGTATGCATGAGGTCGTTGGTTCGATGCTAACCTTGATGCCTGTATATTTGGAGTTTCCATCCTCTCCCCGTGGCCGTGTGGATTTTTCTCTGGGTCCTCCGGTTTTCCCTTCACATTTAGAAACATGCCTTTAAAGTTATTTTGCTGTGATACATTTCTCATAAGCCACTCCGTTGAGCAATCATTTGTGGCCAGGTCGCTTCTGAAATAAAAAAAAAATGTCTAAAGCTTAGTAGGCTTTGCCTGGTAAAATAAAAAAAGATAATTTGTTTTGAGTTTAGTTTAGAGAGTAGGTTGGAGTGCTTTTGAACATTGTTGTTTATTTGATCGTGTAAAGAAACACATCAGTGCCAACAAAGGAAGGTTTTCAATCAGTGGACTGCCGGGTATGACATGCAGATTTGAAGCATATACACCGACAAAGAAAATGGAATAAAGGCACGGAGATGTGACTCTTTTTGTCTCTATATTTTTACATATAGCATGGATCAGAGAACCAATGCAAATTACAGACATCATATTGACTATTAATAGAAGTAGTCATTGGTAGGACACATCGCTAGAACGGATAATGACCGGTGGTCGAGACTGATGATGGAGTGGTAGCCAAATGAGAAGACATGTCCGAGAGGACGTCCAGTGCGGAGATGGAGCGACAAGATCAGTTCGTGCACAGCAGTGAGATGAAGTTTTGCATCGCAAGATCGATCACGGTGGATGACAACAGCTTGTGGAGAGGCCTTCATATAGCAGTGGATAGATCATGGCTGCTGATGATGAACGTTATATTGGAATAAATTAGCTTGTCCGATTTTTTTTACCCGGTAAGGCCCCACTGAACTATATATTTCTTTTTCAGAAGTGACCTGGCTATTACTAATGATATCTCAAAGAAATGGCTTATCACGTGGAAATGCATAGCAGCTAAAAACTCTAAACGCAGGTTGATTCTAAATGTGGAGGGGAAAACCGAAGGATCTCGAACAAAATCCACACTACCATGGGGGAGAACATGAAAATTCCAAATATACATGCGTCAGGGTCGGATCGAACCCAAGACCTCCTGCATACCAGGCGAGGTAATTCACATCTCGCCATTGTGCAATGTAATATTTGTAGTTGTTACCTCGTATTCTTTAGCGTGTGTTTTGTGCTGAAAACAGGTGCGCAGTTTCAGAATTTCAACCTTACGGCGGGACCCCCAGGTCCCAAATAAACGGAAATCAAAATCGTAATAAATGTATTTTTGGCGACTCCGTCCCACCGCGCACATAAACGCCGCGACCCACCTGGCACGGATCATTCTGTTGTCATGCCGTCCAAGAGCAGCAGCGAGGACGAATGCGCAGAAGAGCTGAACAAGCGAATGCTGCACTCCATGCTCGGGTATGGGCAGGATCATAAGTCTTATCCAAAGCTGCTCAAACTGCCTACAAGACTTAAGTCGTATATTTGTCATCACGGTATGCACAATACAGTGAAACTGCTCTCTTATCTTCATTTTTATTTGTCGCCTACCAATGTCTGCAGCCACGATCAATCGATTACAATCCTATTACCTGCAGATATTTAACAGATGAGTTGCGTTGCACCGTTAATTCCTCCTGTTTGATAATACTTCTCTTGTCCGTATGCATCTGTGCAGATAGTTTTTTTTTTGCGGTTAAGCCATAGTCCCCACATATCAATGCGGATAAGAGGAGTGACCCACTCACCTGTAAAGTAACATTGGTATTAACGCTTGTTACAATTAGAACAGTGCATTGAAAACGCGTCCTATTTCATGCACTGTTTACAAAGTGTGTTCACAAATCCACACTGAAAAACACGATGATCGACAGAGGGGTGTAAACAATTTTTTCGATAGTGTATTTAAATAGAGGTACTGCAGGTAAGTAGTTTTCAGTTTTAAAGGCATAGTTTAACAAGACAACACTTGCCACCATCCTTCAAACCCATTGGTAAAAAAGAGCAAACTTTTTGTTTACATACCTACTACAATCACCCAGGAATGTCTGTCTTTAACGCTCGTGACGTCACTCCACATCGAC